AAACTTCTTGTTCATTTTGAGTTGCAATTAAATGAAAATGAGTTTTTATGCTATTAGTGGTTTTGGAATAAATGTAGAGAAATATGTCTCATGAGCTGAGAAAATGAGTAAAAATACATTTGTTTATGTGTAAAAAAATTTATTTAATAACAATTACTTTCATTGAAATAAAAAACATTAACTGAAATACAATTTAAAAATAATAATTATTTCAGTTAGTTGCTAAGGCAACATTTCTCATTTTTCATTTAAGTTGAAGTAATAAAATTTCTAAAAACAAATAATGAACATAACAAATGACTAAACATTTAACAAATTAAAAATAAGAACGAAAAATCTAAAAATAAAAACTTTCATAACATTAAAAAAAAAACACTACCATAGTATATTACTGAAGAAATGTGCATAATCAAATAACGTCTGATTAATGAATCCAATTATTTATGTTTAGTCACAAAATTGCACTTCAGGAAATTCCTCTTCCTATTATTCCAATTCAACATCCTGTGTGGCGTTGTGTATAATAATTCACAATTATTAATAAAAAAAAGTTCCAATTATTAAATTCTGAATTTTCCACAACCTTTATAAGCAAAATTTACTAACCAGTAGATAATTAGCCAATCTGATATTGGTGTTTGACAAATTTTCCCCAAACCTCCATGCAGTTCCAAATAAGTTTTGAATAAACAATAATACAATAAATTCGTAATCAAGTCATATCTCAAAATGATCAGCCATATCAGCCAACTAGTGATATCTAGCCTCTGAAAAATGGTCTACCAGGTGGTATCTCGATATTTTTTTTAGGGATTTTATCGATAACGATAATTAGACGATATTTTGCTGAGTGTGTTATTGTGCTGGTATCTTAAGGACTGTTGTGGACAGCTGACTCCTAAAGTTTCTGATATTCTGTGTGGTGATCAGTTCACAGCAGAAATTAACCTTTTCCAATAAGTTTAAACTGATTTTTACATTTTATGGGCATTTTTACCTTTATAAAGCCATTTTTCTAAAAGTGTCTATTATGTTTTGAGTCAAATTCTTACATTTAATCAGTGAATTAGAATAATAAGACATTCGGGCTGTTACCGAGCAAATTAAATCAGTATCAATAAAATTCATCTTTGCAAACTTACTATGTGTTTCCAGATCCCTACTATCACTACCACTCGCAAACCATGCATCACACACTGTAGGCAGCGCAATCCTAACAACCTGCGCACTTTGCCTATGTCTACTAATACACTACTTTCTTTTTCTATTGGTCTCTGTTCCCTCCTGGTGGAATGACCTGCCCAAATCAATCCGAGCAGCTGAGTCCTGTACTGCGTACTGTGTACTGCGTTAGGCTAACCGAGACTTGTCATTTGCACTTATATATTGTTGCTCTTTTGTTAGTTTTGACTGCTTTTATTGTCCTCATTTGTAAGTCGCTTTGGATAAAAGCGTCTGCTAAATGACTAAATGTAAATGTAAATGCAATGCAGAGGAAACACAGAAGTTGCGTCTGAAGAGGCGTTTAGATGCGTCTACACTAGGGCTGTCAAAATGGCAAAAAAACTAAATTCGAATTTTGTACTTAAATATGATCAATATTCGAATTATATTCAAATTTAAAATGTATAATTTCAGTTAGGGGAAAAAAGCTTTTGGCCACAAGAGGGCGCATCGAGCAAAATATTACTAATGCACGTTTATTCAAAGCAATAAAATAACATGACTATCTGTGAAAAAAGTGCATAATGTTTATAAACCAATTATAATGAATTAAGTTGCTTAAACAACTATAAACAAAACAGCATCATGTATGTATGCACAGTTTAATACAAAGCGCCGAAAGCCAATCACACAGCACTTTTTTCATTTAAAAACATGAGATGCAGTAGGATGGGGAAAACCCCCGCCATAAAGTCTCGAGATATGTTTTTTCAAACGTTGAACAACAGTTTATTCTAATAGTATGTTCAAATATCTAATGTAAATGTCAAATATCTAATGTAATAAAACTGTGTTTTATGCTTCAGGGCTCCAGACTCATTCTTCCCACTGGTCGCTCTTTTGCGACTAACTTTCTCAGTTGGTCATTGCTACATATAAAATAAACATCTTAAGTTAATAGTTTTATATCAGTTGTTTTTAATTTGATTGTCATTAGCAGTGCTTTTTAAGATTGTAGTTTTATCCTTCATTAAAGCCATTAAGTACACAGTCTTGTACCGCTATCTTTTTGTTTTGTATTCAAATACTTTTTTGCCTCAAATTAGGCCTGTCGCGATAATTAAATAACCATCTAATCACGATTATTTGATCTAACCGCGGTTGTTTCAGACAAACGCGATTATTGTGCTTTTTATACGACACAAGGGGGAGTTATACACCAAAAGAAACAGAAGAGCACCAGTTTGCTTTTCATGTATAAAGCCTAGCCTGTACAGGGCTCCAGACTCATTTTTCCCATTAGCCGCTCTTTTTCAACTAACTTTCTCAGCTGGTCGCACGAGCACATGATTTGGTCGCAATATTTTTTTTGCTCTACAACATGGGATTATTCAATGCATGCTGATGACCTTTTATCATAGTTTATAGTTATATGAAAACGAAAGTGGTTAACATTCAACCCCTTCTTTTTCATCAGTATTATATGTGATTTAAATTTTGTGAACGGTAGTTTCTCTTTTGCTAGGCTATGTTATAAGCTGGGCTTCGGGTGCTTTCACTTTCGAATTCGCGATCTTGGGGTCACGTTTTACAAGAAAAGATATTTGTCTGATTTGCTTACATACATCTATAAATATTTAAGTTTTTAAGACTAAAACAAAAGATGGATTAGTTGTTATTCTTAATTAAAAAGCATAACAACAATAAAACAGTAAGATACAATGACAAACTAGCTTACAAGACGAAGCATGGCATACACCACATGCTGTATTATATACCGACTAATAAATTACAGAACGTTTAGCAAACACTGAGGAATCAAATAAATAAAAAAGAGAGCTTACATAGAATAACGTGAGGTAAACAGCAAAGATAAGCTTTTCAAAATGAAAAAAAAATAAATAAAAGTAAAACTAAACTTGCTGTCGGTGACAGTGCTTGCATGTTTTTTTCCCACAAGAATACCAACATGTTCACCTTTGGTTTAAGAAGCGGTCTTTTACTTTACTTTAGCATGAAAACCATCCTTCCTTTCCTCAATATTCGCGTAATTTTTGCTGCATGCAGCTTCGCACTCCTGACGCGGCTTTGACAGAGTTACCTGAGAAGAGTTAAATACGACAAACTATAAATGTAGCCATTTTTTATATTAAAATAATTTTTTTAATAAATGTATAATTTATATTTAAACATAAAAATGTATATTAAAACACAAATTATAAATATTTATATAGCAAATTTTTTATAACTAAATATCTAAGACTGACAATTTAGCCATTTATATATTTAATTGTATACATTTTTATATATTTATAATTTGTATTTAAATATAAAAGTGATATATTTAAATACAGATTGTAAGTATATTTAAATATTTTTTACCCAAAATGAATAACTTTGAGACACATCAATGGTGAGTGACCTAAGAGATACCATAAATGTGACAATATTATAAATGTAGCCATTTATTTAAATATATTTTTATGCATTTATAATTTGTATTTAAAAATAAATAGGTACAATATATATATTTAAAAAAAACTCAGAATATATGTGACCCTGGAGCACAAAACCAGTCGCTGGGGTATATTTGTAGCAATAGCCAAAAATACATTGTATGGGTCAAAATTATTGATATTTCTTTTATGCCAAAAATCATTAGGATATTAAGTAAAGATCATGTTCCATGAAGATATTTTGTAAATTTCCTACCGTAAATATATCAAAACTTAATTTTTGATTAGTAATATGCATTGCTAAGAACTTCATTTGAACAACTTTAAAGATGATTTTCTCAATATTTTGATTTTTTTGCACCCTCAGATTCCAGATTTTCAAATAGTTGTATCTCAGCCAAATATTATCCTATCCTAACAAACCATACATCAATGGAAAGCTTATATAATTCAGCTTTCAGATTTCAAAATTGACCCTTATGACTGGTTTTGTGGTCCAGGGTCACATATTAGAAATGGTTCCATTTTAATCCATAATAAGATTATTGATCGATTTTCCGTTTGAGAAACCAAATCCAGCTCTGCACTTCAGCTGCAGATGGACGAGCGCTGGGCTCACCTGTGTGTTTATGGAGGGGAACGGAGCCGGCTGAGCGATGTGAGGAGAGTTACTCATGACAGGAGGATAACCAGACTGTCCCCAATGATCCGGAAGTCCATCTGAGAAACCAAAACAACACCAAAAACATGTGATCCAAAGAAACCACCCGGAAGATTAACTGTAGAATTACTGCAAAAGCAGCAGACGCTGATGCTACATTACTCTGTGTTTGTTTGTTTTTTTCCTCTCTTTTTGAATATCGGTATGTTTTGCAAAACGAGGAAAGCTCTAGCCACTCCCACTGATTAAGCAGCTGTCTTTGATTGCTTGCTAATTGTTTAAGAGCACTTCTTTGAACAATTGGTGTGTATCCTGAAGAAGTCTGTGAAGCCGAAACGCATAGATCTACACTTTTAACCGTTTTAATGATTTAGCCCAGCTAATTAAAGGATTTTTATTTTTACTACACGAGTGCCTTGGAGTATTTAATCTTCTCAGTTTGATATTTACCTCTAAATATCCAAAGAGCACCGTTGATCACGTGAAGAGACCAGTGCGGCATTCTTAGCTCCTGTTGTTTTGTCACAGCTTTTTTTATATTGGATATACACCTAAATATTTATGTATTTGCTCTAACATGAATTGAAACACACAATATGTACCAAATATGCATGATTGCAAAGACTATTTTAAATGTCTACTTCTAAAATAGGGTGAAAAATTTATTAATTAAAAAAATTCCATTAAATTAACAAAAGGATAGATTATAAATATGAACTTTTTATACAAAATATGTGATGCAATGCAGTTTAAAGAAGGCAGAAAAATACTTTTAAATGCAAAATGTCACATGAATTATTTTAGGTGATGCAATAGGTTTGCACATGACGTCACTGATCACTAGCAGAAACTCAAAATGCCTGTGTTTTGTGTTGTTTATGGATGCTCCAATCGGCCAAACCGAGAAACCACAAGGAGCTTTATTGTGTACAAAAATGTGTTGTTCATAAGTGGGGAAAAGCCAAGAAATTTACTGAAAAACACAGGAAAAAGTGTCTTGTAAACGGTTGGGAGGAGCGGAGCCCGATAATGCTCGTGTGTGCAAATGGTTAACATAAGATATAATAATATATTAAGATATTAATAAAGAAATATATAAATAGATTGGGCTGCCACCTCTCATGCATTCAGCGTGAGATAATAAAAAAAAAATAGATTGCCCCGTCTCCCGCCTCCCACACATTGTGACAGTCAGAATTTACTCAGTGCTAAACGCCACACGTAGACACGTAAATAAGATATTATTTGCAGTTCAGAGAGCTTCACTGATTATAAAGGAACACCGTGAGATTGCGATCAATTGAAGTGAGTGATAGCTTTTTAGTGATTATATGGAAGCGCTATTTGCTCGCTTTCTAGGCTAAAAAATCAATTGAGTATTTGAATAAAAGTTGTTTTACGTGCTGCTAACAGAACCAACATCCAGCAAAGTTTCAGGAGTGACTGAAAAAGCAGAACGGATGAGATG